GATTCTATGATTCTATGATCTTAAGCTTTTAAATCAAGATGATATATTATTCTGTAAAGGGTGTCATATGACACTGTTAAGATTGGGAAGATCTTCACATGAACATAGTATCTTTCTGATGTGTCTGTATAAAGTTTCTGGGCAGGTGGCTTGATCATATACTTTTACTGTGATTCAAAAAAAATTTCAAAATCTTTATTCAGAATAATGAGGATATTTCTGGCAAAAAAACTATTGCTGAAAAGTCTACATCTGTAAGCAAATGGCTAGAAAATACTGTATATGATGACAAAAATGGCTCAAGTTAGCATTTAGACAGTAAGCTGCTTTGTAATTGGGTACATGTTTTTGAATACATATCTACATTTCAATGCTTGCGGATTAGAACCAACGTAATACCTAAATAACAGGAAGAAAATCAATCTATGCGTTAAACAGGTTATGCTTTGACTTGTTAGAGGCAGGAATTTTATTTGACAGGTTTTCTTTTCTCCATTATGCATTATGTACCTTCTCACATACGTTTACACACAAGCTACTAACAGAAAAAACACTTCATATGAAACCACTGGCAAATATGTTCTAGGAGATTTATTACAACACTTTCTAAATCTGACATACAACCCAAAGTGTATGAATCACGATCTTTGAGAAATATAAAACTGACATAGAGGTTATATTTGGACATATGTTAGCTGGTCAGTAGATTATGATTTGAAACTGATATTCATATAATGAGACATATGTGTACTAGTTTTTCAGATTAACTCCTTATAGGTAGAATAGCAAGAGCTAAAATTTTCAAGGGATGGCATGAAGGAAAGTAGTCATTTATAATAAAAATTATCATGAGACTATCTTGCTAAAATAAGAAAGACTGCTTCTTCACCAACAAGTAAAAAAAATGATCAGCTAGATCCCAAAAGCTAGCTATCAATAACATAGCCAAAAGTTAACAGTTCCATTTGTTCCTAGGTTGAGTGTTTATCAGTAGCATCAGACATGCTACTCTAAAGAAAACTGAACTGTCATCAAAACTCTTTTCTGGCTTTAAAATTTGCAAAACAGAATTGATTAATTTTAATATGCTCAATAGATATGTGTTTGTATGGCTTTATACATCCCTGAGCAATAAGATAGAAAAAGACATTTCTACGGTTTAAAAACCACAAAGGGCCTCAAAGCTACACGACAGAATTAGACTCAGTGACTTTGCATCACAAATGCGTACCAAGAAAAATAGTATAACATAAACCTGATGAGTGAACAATGGCATTCCCTTCCTAAGAGATTGCTTTCTCAAAACAAAACAAGCACTGAAATTCAATATACAAATTCTAAGACCATAAAAACAAGAAATGAGCTTCACAGCAAAATATATACAAGGCTGTTATCAATGACAAACACATAATGCTCGCTGTAAAGAAAAGTCAATGCTTCAGTCAGCTAACTGAAATATTGAAGCTAGCAGAATCATTGTTCTCCTAGGACTCCTAGGCATACAGTAGAAATGAACATTAATATGATCTAGAGAAATAATCAAGATTTACTATGAAAAATGAGAAATCCCAAAACACCACTGACATAGAGGAAAGTTCAGAGCCTTATATCTCCCGGCAACAGATAAGAAACCTCCAGCATTGCCAGCAAAATTGTTCCAGACATTAGCATCAAACTTACCACGTACAAAATGTTTAGAAATAGAATGATGGCCTTTTAAAAATAAAATGCAACCATTTTACAAATACTCAAAATAATTCTCTATCTTAAGCTAATTAAGCAGTATTTTTAAAAGAAGTTGACTTTACATAAGTGTTACTTTATAAAGTATTACATTTTCTTAAATTGATTCTGGTCTGTAGCTGACATAAAACTTCGCATGACCATCAGAGAATTTAATTAGAAATAGCAAATTCTAGATTATTAGGAACTCTATGGCACTAAAGGGATTTTAGCACTTTCTCCCAGAAGCACTTTGTCACATCTTCAATGTTATTCTTTATTGTGAATACCAATTTGCTTACCTTGCGTGGCTGAAAGTCGTACTTCACGCAGTGCTGGAAACCTTTGCCTTTTGACTTCAATGACGTAACTATTAAGCAGTTGCCAACAAAATGAGCAGAATATCCAACACCTTTACTAGTGCGGAAACTGAAAAGAAAGAATTATGAATTAAATTGGAAAAAGAAGAATTACTGTATAATAAAACAAGTTCCAAATACTACTTTAAATTGCCACGAGAAAGAAAAGAAATTAGTATCTGGAATGGTGAACTTAATTACCTTTATATCCTCTCTCCCCACCATTTCTTTGGGGGAAGCTACTTTATCACTAAGATCCCAGGTTACATTCTAAAAATCAGTATGATTTTTTTTTTTTATTTAAAACAATGTAAAGAAAAATCCATCACAGAATCAATGTGATATACCTTGCAATTTTATGAGGTTGCGATAACAATGCATGTGGTATGACATAAAAGTTTGGATTGAAATTAATTATTACACACAATTATTTTGTTTTCAAAACTTACGATCTGTTTGGGCTAATGACCTATAAAGTTTTAACCATCTGAGTTGCAGATTTATTTTCATTTGTCAAATTGATAAAGAATGAGAACTTTAGCAAGGTAATATTAGTAAGGGTTTCCAGGCTGTGGTTTTCTCATTCTTCTAATTGCCTCTATACGTGGTACACAATCTTCTCCAGGTGCTGCACTGGAAAGGAGCATTATTCCCTTCCACAGCCCATTGTCGTCTCTTCCACACAACCCTCCTGACAAAAAAACCCCAAAGTGCACTCCTTTTAATAAAGCTAAAAATTCCTCTCTAAATAAACCTAAGATAGAATCTAAGAATGAAGAGAAAAATTACATACTGTCCATCACTGCTGACCTCAACAGTGAAGACAATTTATAACACTGCCATTCTCCTATGTCTTTTGAAGACTATTTTTAACATGGATCATTTCAATGATCTGGCTTCCACAATGACCTCATAGGCAGCTATACCCAACAAAAGGAACAGTGAACAGCCTCATGGGAAATCATTACTCATATACATATATAACCTGCATTACTTATATATACAAATAACCTGCATGACCACAGTATTGAACTTCATACAATAACATGAAGGTTAAAAACTTGAAATACAGCTTTTACTGTAAGAACAACTGAATGTGTTGTGGGCTAGTTTGAAACTTTGATTTACCTCCTTGGGGTTTTATGCCATTCAAAGAACTTTTCACCACCAGCGGCATCTCTCACAATGCCAAATTTGTTTCTCTGCAACATATGTCATCTCTACAAGCTAAAATACTTTTGGCTAACAGAATCCTCTTCTGAAGGATATTGAAAAAAATACAGAGATTCACTATGGTCTGACATATGGTGTACTATTATTTGATGAGATGTCAAATAAAATATATATTTTTTTTTAAATACCAACAGTCAATCATTGTAAATACCACCACATTTTAACCTGATAAAACATTATTACAATTGTGTAACATACATCCTATTAGTTTGAACCAGAGCTAGTTAAGCATTGTGCTATAAACTGAGAACACTCTGTTAAAAAAAAAAGGGTCTTGGAAGTAATGTCTACACTTTCAAAATTTTTCCCTCTTCCCCCTCACAAAACCCCTCTCCCCCTCACCCCACCCAGACTCCAGTTACTGGGCTGATTTTGACACCATTATGGTCAAACTGGACTGTTCCTTGAATTTGGAACACTGAATTGACCTTACATGTGTAACTTCCTGGAGTCCAGAATCTGAAGAAAAGAAAGCAATGAGTTTGTTTCTTAGCAGCACTCTTCTCTTCATACTGGAATAGAATGAATGATTTTCTATACGTGGAGTTTAGCCAAAATTTGACTTTTTTTTTCCCCAAATTAATTAGAATTCTAATACAGTAGTTGAGAAACTGACAACTCAAATATGTTCTCTGTTTACCTCAACATTGTAATATACAGATTATGTTAGTTTTCAAATTTTATTTCTTGCCAAAATAACATAGGCTAGGACTGGTCTCTAAGATACCACACAGAAATTCTCTTACCAATTACCTACACATGCAGAACTTGCCACAAGCAAAGATGAAATGCAGAGAGACAACAAGAACAGTACTGTCAATACCCATGTGGTATTTTGAGCCTTTAACTACCTCCCATAGCAGCCGGTATACAATTGTACTACAGATAATTTATAAACCCCTTATACTTATGTTTCATTTCCACCAGTTTCTCAAAGGAGCTACTACAAATGTTATTACAGGTAAGCATTCTTTCATCCACTGGTGAAACAGTTTAGTGATTCCAGGTTCTTTAGCAAAGGATTTTACAAGCAATTTAACATAAGATCATAGTACTGAGGTTGAGAAGATATTAATTCTTGCCTGAAATAAGAAAAAAAAAAAAAGTTTCTTTTCTACTAACTTTGGAATTCCATTATGTGCTTTTGCAACCTTTCTGCCTTACCTCTATTATTATTAGCCCTAGAAAAGAACTGAAAAGTCTAGATGGCTTGTTTTGTGTGGCTTTTTTTTTTTTTTCTTCTTCTTACATCAGTAAAAATAAAATTTAGAATGCTCTTTCAGAAGTTGTAGTCATTCTTCCAATAAATGGTTGTGGAAGCACTTGGATGTTTTGAAGACAAAAGCAACAATTATGAAAATCCAGCCTGAGTTCACCCTCTAATTCCTTTACAGAGCCCAATACACACTTCAAAAGAAAGCATTTCTTAAAAAAAAACAAACAAACAACCCCAAAACCACTCAAACAAAAAAACCCCACAACAAACCAAACAACAAAACCAACAAAACCCACAAAAACACCAACAAATAATCATAGTATCTGGATTGATTTTATGTAATTCCAAGCATTACTTAGATATAATGTCAACCTTTTTTAGCAGAAACGAGTATAGAGATTCAGAGGTTGCAGATTTCCTAGTTGAGCACCTTTAAGGTTAGCCCTAAATTCCTATATTTGCACTGTCTTTATTACAAAGAATCTACACCTCTTCTAAGGAAACATTTCCAATGTTCTATTAAGCTATGAAGCTACTGCTGCTGATTATTATTTTGTGTCCTTATAGCTGTCATAGTTAAAGCGACCATAGTATTGTGTGTCTTAAAGATTGAGTTTTCCTATTTTGCTGTCTACCCGCTGACTCTTAGATTAAACAATCCATTATCATCAGATTCTTGCATAAATTCTGAAAACAGCCGTCAAGAGCATCCTTAAGTTCATTTTATTTTTTCTTGGAAGGTTTCACTATAAAGCATGTTTTCCAGAGCCCAGAGTGTTCTCAGTAGTACCAGGTTTTTTTCTATGGTCTCTTAAATGAAGTAGCAATTCTTAGCTTTAAATGGTATTCCAGTAATGCTTTTGCCAGTATTTCAGGAAGTGATCACATCACCTTTACTCTCTTCTCTGTTTGTTCAGACTAACCTTGTAAAGGTCACATTAGCTCTTTCAGCTACAGTAATTACAAAGCAGCTTATGGCAAGTTGGTTACCAACAATAACCCTCAAGTCCTCCTGTAATTACTGCTTTCCAATACATAACTACTAATTCTGTATGCATGGCACCCATTATTCACTGCTAAGTATATGATGCTCGTTTGCTTATACCAAAATTTGTGCTATAGAATTCTGAATCTCACCATTTGAGTCTGACTGCTCTGCAACAAAGCTTTCTGCTTATCGTTATTTATCATCTGTGCAAATATCAGAGACTTCTAATTTACTTCTAGGATTGCCACACATCTTGTAATTGGTAAAAAAGCTACAATACTGTTCCAATATAAAAATACTAATACACTGTCGCTTAGCAGCTGCCCAACATCATCCTCCAAGATAATTAAAAAAAAATAATTTGCTTAGAGTTCTTGAAGCAGCATTTAGCAAATTCCAGAACAGCTTTCCCTCACATCTGGCAAATGTGAAAGCATTTCTCTGCTTCCCTTCTCCACTTCTAAGCATGAGATTTCACATCATGGGGAAAACGATGTAAAGGCTCTCTCCCAACAGAAAGGCCTCTGGCCACTTCTACTGGTTATACTTTATAAAGATGATAAAGGTGATAAAGAGGTTATACTTTATCACTACAAGGACAGAGCTGAAACTCCATATCTTTTGAAGCTATAATTTATTCTCAAGTTTCCAAACTACAACAACAAAATACAGGAGACATGATTTGCTTATGTTCTGGGTTTTGAAAACAGAAAAAACATGAAAACAAAGATAAGCACATATCAACCATGGGAAAAGACAAACTCACAGGAAAAAAATGGTTTTTTACTCTAACAGACTTTATTCTAATCAATCTAATAAATAAATATTATATTAAGTTACTTTTTATAGGTAAATCATACTGACAGTGGACATTTTTTATTTAAACATGGAAATGCTATGGCTGTAGTTAATCAGAAGTACATTAATAAAAAAATATTCTTTAGAGTATAATGGTCAGACCTTTGTTTTGAAGTTAAAAACCTCAGGTTTCTTTGATAACTCAAAGGGTAGATTTGTGGGGTATACTCATTGACACGTTTGAAACTAAACTCTCTTATCATGGAAAAACCTTTATTCGAGACAGATGTCTGAGTAAATGTTGCAATTATTCTAAGCTATATCACTTCTTGTACTAAAGTGAATATAGGCTACATTTTTGGAGAAAAGGCATAAACTGCCATTCTTAAAAATGGAAACAGAAGTAAACTACCTCTGACACAGACAAAATGAAATATCCGTAAATATTCAGGAAAGCTTAACACATGGAAGATTTTTAACTATTTCAAAGCAAAAAATATGCTAAAAAGCACATCTAAAAATCTTGGAATTTAATAACAGTTGTAATCATCATAATATACATCAGAAAAAATACATATTAAAAAATATAATCAGACATCTGAAGTTATTCTAACCTAATGCCATTGCTGCTACTGCATTATATTGGAATCAGAGGGAATCATATTCATCGTTCAGGTTAAATGTCTTTCTACACTACTAACCCTAAGAAAAACAGCATACATCACAGGCTGTGCAATTGTGGAGTATACTTTTCCTGTTCTGAGGCAGTAACAAAGTCTCAAAACAAATACACCAGCTGAAGTTCCCAATTCGAGAACATAAATTCTGGCTGAGAAACAAATGATCATGTTACATTCTTGTATGCATGTTCAACTCTATAATTGCTTTTGTTGTTGTCCTTGACAGACTGAACAGTAAATAAAGTACAGCTCCTAGTAATAAACATAACTACAGACAACAACATGAAAAAATCTCCATGGTAATTTAACTATAGCACATAGCAAAAAACAGGCATATGGAAAAGCATTATCCCAGACAGTAATTCAGAGAAAATGTACCAAAATTTTTCTTCAGAATAAACCTAGTTTTTTATCAGATATTTGTTCTATTAAAAAATATGAATTATTTTGGTTTTCCAAGTAACTGCACGGTAAGGTTTTTAAGTACTGATAGTACAAGTACCTTCCTGAGACCACATTTGCTGGTCCTCTCCTCAGCTGACTACTAAAAACTTCTGCTCTTCACGCTATGTGAAATGACTACAAAGTGAGAAATGTTACTTCTGGCTACTTCCCTCTTTGTGCTACTCCTGTATTCCTGAGCTGATAAAACTTTATAGATCTCCTTGATGTCCAACCCTTATCTATCTGCAGAGCTGATATACAGTTTTTAAGAATATAAGAAAATATAAAGGGAAGCATACTAAATAGTAAATACATAAAGAATGAAGAAGTGTTGAAGAAAATACCAGCATGCCCTTTCTTGTTTTCCACATTCTTTATTTTCCTTCAGCTAAGAGAACTATTCTTGAGCAGATATAGGATTAATATCTAAAATGAAAAAACCTTTTTCATGACTGACCAATAAAATAAACATTTTTACTTTTATACCATAATTTCTAAATACAAGGTTTAATCAAGGATGTAACTATTTCTACTTTTATCACAACAGCAAACCAAAACAAACTAAAATTATTCCTTCCACTATTAATCTATTAGGAAATATAGCTTCCTTTTCTGGGAACAGGTGATCAGTGATCAATTTTATATTCAAAGACCTACTTTCTGTTACCACTACCTAATGTGACAAGAGTGCGCTCTGAGTAGGATGGATTTGCTTTATAATACTGACATCAGCTGAGACTCTTAAACACCCCACAGAAAATATCACAATATTCTCAGTTTATATCTCTAATAAATAATATATTTTAAAACTGCTTAAGAAACGGGCACATAAGATTTTATGGTTATCTACAAGGCACAAAGTTTTGCATCCATGGATTTATAATTTGCAAAGGAAAAATGACAGATGACTTTTTAAGAGTTTGTATACAGCAAGAAGTCATTAAAATCAGCAGGTATTTGAGAGGGGAAGAAAGCATGTCAGAAATTAAAAACAACGAGAAAGATTAATGGCTACTAGGAACCCAAAACAACCATAACTGCAGTGCTATAAGTTACTTACCAGTAGAGATACGGTTTATCCTTATCTACATTGATATTGTTGAGTGGATCCATACGAAACCAGGTGTTAAGAGTAAACCCATTTTGATAAGGCCACTTAGCAATAGGAGGCAATGCAATTGCCTGAGGAGGGGAAATAAAAAGAAAACAGCAAATCAAAAAAACCCTTCAAATAGTTTTTTTTTGAATAAATGCATTAGTTTACCATCTATTTTAAACTAATTTAATATTTAACTACATAAATTCTACCATTAGATGACATGAAATTAAATCTGGCAATAGGCAATATTACAAGAAAAAAAAGAAAAAATACTTCTGCAGAAACTAAACTATAAATTCAGCTTTCAGTAAGTATTCATCTCATCAGTACACTTAAACATTAAGATCAAATTAACCTCAAAAGATAGTGCAATAGAGATTCACTGTTAAAACTACAGTATAAAAAAGGCTGTTATCTGAAATTTAAGAGCACTATGAGGTTTTTTTTTTTTTCCTACAGTTAGGTAAGAGACTTAAAATCTTACCCTCATTCTCAGTTAAATAAGTTAAATAATAAGGCATGGCCTGGGAAGAAATTTGATTTTTCAATACTTTATTTTTCTGGGCTGAGACTGATGAAGACATTTCAGACAACTCGTTATCCCTGGGCAAGGCCCTGAATACCTGATCTAACTTGGAAGTTAGGCACCCTTTATGGAGGAAATTTGACAAGTTGAACTTCAGAGGTCACTTTCTAAATAAGTATTTTCTACAATACCACTAAAAAATAAAACATTTTTTCCCCTCAGTAGGATAATTATACACCAAATGAAGTAATTAAAAATTTCTGAGAAATGAAATGTTTCTAATAACTTGAAGATTACTGCAGTTGGCACTCATTACAATACATTCTTTCTCTCTCCATCAGAAAAAATATAGAATATCATAAACAAAAGCAGTTAAGGAATAATAGCTTTTAATACTACTTCTTTACATAAGTTGTATATGAATGCAAAGCAAAAGAAAATACTTTTCTAAATAACTTAGCATGTTATTTCTAAGTGTATTTAACATAACTTTCAGCTTCTGTAAGAAGCTACACTGTAAAATAATAAATGCTAATTAATTTGTCCTTGTGCTGATGGTACTGTGCTCCTATCGAAGTTACCACTTATACTGACTGAGCACTGGCACAGGCTGTCCAGAGAGTTTGGGTGTCTCCGTCCTTAGATATGCTCAGAAGCCTCCTGGGCAGCCTGCTCTGGGTGACCCTGCTTCAGTGCAGGGGTGGTGGCTGAGATGACCTCCAGAGGTCCCTCCCAACCTCAACCCTTCCGTGATTCTCTGTGATTCTTATTAGTCCCAGCTGGAAATGCTTTTTTGGGAGTGCTCCTATCTTGTACTGTTATGATTCATACAGAAGACTACAAAGAATTGTTGCAAACTCATTTACTGCTTAAAATGAGAATGGACAAGAGTTTTTTTGGCAACAGAGTCAGAATAACCACACTATGATTTTATGCCAATGTAGTCAAGTACATAAAAAAATGGTAGAGTGGGGCTGACTTTGCGTTATTTTTATATGCAGGGCAATTGCTGAAAGAGCTTTAAGAGCAGAGAAATAGGTAATAAAGAATGATGGGGAACTCACAGTAAATTTCATAATTAGGCATAGCAATGTGCTCAGATTATGCTAGTATTTGACTAGACAAAAGAAACAACATCAGTTCTGCTAATAACCTGGTACCTACTGCTCAGTACAAAACATTTCAAGGAACTCCTTTGGGATACCACCCCTGCCTCCTGAGAGGGTGTTCCCTGCCTGAAACAGGAAAATTGCTACTTGATGACAAACAGCAAAACCACCTGGGAATACCACCACCATCATAAGGTGTCCTCCTAAAGGAGTGACTGGTGTGCTACTTACACAGACTGGCAGTGGTGTGACATGGTACTGGGAAGAGCCCTTCTGTTGGGATAGTGAAGCAGATCTACCAGCAGATCAGCAGAATTGTTCAGCAGACTCTTGGCTCTTTTATACTACCACTAAAGTCTTGGTTATACAAGGTGCATGAAAACAACTTTAATGAGGGCCAAACTGATATTTATTATGCCAGAAAAATATTATACTGTTTCTCTGCTTGACGTCCTCATTGTACACCACTCCTGAAAACCTGAATTCAATGCTAGTAAACTAGGTCCTATCCATTCTCTTTCTTCTAATGAAGTGCTTCATTGTTTGTGTCATTTTGTAAGAAATGGCCCTTCGTCCACTTCAGAGGATGACTCCTCTCCAGAAGTTCATAGTGTAATCCAACATGCACTCCTCAAGAAATGTAAATTTCAAACTCGTATTTCTTGATTTACAGATGCACAGTCAGTGATGAGTGGTATGTGAAACAAGATCCTAACCAAGAAAAAAGAAATGCCATTTGTGCATTTCAATGGAGAAACTTTATGCCCCTGTAAAACTGTCAGTACTGAGAACTTAAGTTTAAATACAATTTCCAATAACTGATGCATCTCTTTGGACAGGGAGGAACATTTGAAATTCTTCCCCTGTAAAACTTTTCTTGAAGCTCTAATACAAAATTAAATTTGAGAGAGACATTTCATCAGGGTTTGCCTCTGAAGCCCAGAAACGTCAAAGCAGTATGTGTCACTGTAGACATTCATATTCTGCAACAGCTGTCTTGTACTTTTAGGAGAGGTTAACTGTGGTTTTAATTTAGCAGTAACAAATTAAACTCTCTCTTTCAAAACTCAGTAATTAATTCCTTACACAGTCCGCCCCATTCATTTTGCTGACACATCTGTTTGTGCAGCTGATTATCAAACAAGATCAGGGAAGTGATCTAGCCAAAAATAACCCAGGTGAAAACCAGTGATTTTCAGCCAGTTTATTTCCCTGATGGAATCTACCACATCAACAACTGTATTCACCAAGATGAGGTGGTGGTTTATGCTTGAAGAAAACTATCAGCGCTATGGAGGAAATTCAAGTAGAAGAGCCCAAGAGAAGCTCCTACCACCCCCTTCCTGCACTGGCAGGAAAACAAAGGCATCCCCAGATTATTTCCCCTTAAATGATTCCAAGTTTTGCCATAAGCATATGCTATTCCATACCAGAATGGAAATGAACCTCAAAGCCAGATTTCTCATTTTTAAGTATTTGTATTTACTGGTTTAATAATCTTATTTATAAATCCGTATAGAGTATTTGAATTTATTTGTAGTACATGCAGTGAATGGAAGAAAGAATATCCATTTGAAAAGGTTTAGAAAGGAATAAATTTCATCATCATAAGTTATCTCAAAAAGTGAAGCCAAAAGAAGATTGTGTTTAAAACACTGCCTTGAGGGAAACAGTTGAGGGAGTTCAGACAAAAGAAAAATATAGAATAGAATTTGTGACTAAGGTGTCACTTTAAATGGTAATGATATGCACAAGCTTATCCCTAAATTTTCCTTGAGCCTCTGCTTTATATAGTATCAAATAAAATAGTACTGTTATTTGGAATTCTCAGTTTTCACTTTTACGATCATTTCCCCAGGCAAAAACCTGCTATTTGACATTCCATTCTCAAAAGTGCAACTTTTCAACATTACAACTACCTTGCAAACCTACGGAAGGCAAGATCTCTGCTACTCAAGCATGTACTTCCCTTCTCATTTCCTTTTAAAGAAATTCCAAAACCAAATAAAAGAAAATGCAACTGAGGAGCAATTTATTTGTTCCTCAAGTTGTAGTATTTTGGTTAACAACTTACTGCAGCACTACAGCCTGGGAAGTTGAAAAACGTATCGGGCCCATGCCTCTGTGGCATCTGATTAAGGACTGATAACAGTTTAACCGCATGTCTTGGCTGTGAAAACAAGAAAATTGCACAAAATTCAATACAACCATTTTTGTACTCTTTAGGCTACAATGGAAATTGGACAGTTTTCCAACAACACAGAAAATTAACTCTAAATGAAGTAAAAATACTTCATAAACATATGTTCACTCAACATGAATTAAAAAAAAACCAGTTTATATGCCTCGGGAGACAATTTATGTTAACTTCAGGCTCTAATGGAATGACACTTAATGCTTTATCTGATCACAGCTTACCCAGATTCCATTTTCGCCTCGAAGCATGCTGAACAAAAGCTTCAATTCTTTGACAGTGATGCTGTAGCTGGCAAGAACCCCCAACATATCAACTAGAAGATCTTCAAAGGAAAATAAAGTTATTCTGAACTCTGAGTTGCATTGTTTTGACAAAAAAGCTGAAAAAGTTAATATCTTTTAGAGTCTGTGATACACTTGCTTTTAAAATCAGACCTAGGTGCCTTAAATATTTTACAACAGATTTCATATTCTCGTTTTAGTTACTTTAAAAATGAATTTATATTTAACTTGTAGATTTTGCATCACACTTTGAACAAAGTACCTATTAAATTTATGAAGTTAATTCATCCCATTCCACATTCATCATATATTATGAACTTCTCGACTGCTCCTTACTGTTACAGAATTTTGCACAAACAAAACAAAACAAACCCCAAAAACCCACAAACACACACAAATCTTAGTGAGACAACAATAAAAGGACACAATAAAAAAAAAAGGTGATCAAAACTGCTAACATATTTACGTAATACAGTTTCCGTTAAAATGTCTCAAACCTCATAAACTTTTAAAGAAACAGCATTACATAGCCTGCCTTTCAGAGACAGTCAGGCTTAAAATTACTGCTCGTGCTTGGATCTTTATCTTAAAAGACAGAATTTCATTTTAAGGATTTGTTAGCTTAACAAAGCTAACAAATTGGTGGTTCACCCACCCACCTCACCACCTTAGACTCCACACTTTCTTCTGGAATGAAATGCACTACTACGAACTACTGCTTCCTCTAGCAGGAGTAAAAACAATTTACTTGTCTTCCCAAATGTGGCATAAAAAATTTAATCCAGAGATCAAGCAGTGAAGTGCAGTTTCCAAACCAAAAAAGTTATGACACAATACAATCAGCATTAACAAAGTTTTTTAATCTCCTCAACAATCAGAAAATTCCCCCCATGAAACTTATAGAAGACATGGATAAGCTTATATCTTATTTGCAGGACTACACGCTCTCCTTGTCCATTGGTGTAAGGATGACTCTCACTCATGCTGGCAAAGAGTAAATTAAAAAGCATCCATTCTTTTCAAGGACAATTTGCATTGATATTTTCTTTTAAAACAAATTCTCTCAGCAAAAACCTTATGCATGTGTTTTTGAGTAAAACCACCAATATCTATTTAACTTGTTCCACCATGAAACCAACCTCTGGTCCACAGTAAGCAAAAGGCAAGTATGAAGAGTGAAACATAATTTAATTTACAGGAGACATAGTAGGCTATTTAGTGAGTGAAACTGCATGTCAGAAAGGGAAAAAACTCCCCACAGTAACTTGCAGACATTTTCACCGCAAACTCTGAATATAATCCTAATGTTCAAGTATAGACTTTTTTTCTTTTTTTTTTCTTTAAAGGAAGAGTTTATTTAATCTTCCCTTTAAATTTAGTACTATGTTATATTTGGGATGGAATTTCTTAAGGGAAAGCAAAATAAAGCTAAGAAAACTAAAATCCCTTGTCTTTCATGATGGTGAATTGTATGACTCAGCTCCTCCTCTAGTACCTACAAGCACCCTTCACTGTACAGTCTCCAGTCGGCAATGTGAAGCTGGCAGTGACTGCACATACTGAATGTGATCAGAAATTGAGAACGGTAACACACTGAAAACTCTGGAAGGGAAGTCAGCCAAAGTGAGAACCAATCTTTGGCTAAGAATTTCCCAATTCTTATTTTGTAATGTTAGCTTGCTTTTTAGATCACGCTACTTCAAATTTAGCTTCCTTTACAGAGAAAAAGTGTTGTGTAGAAGCAAAGTTGTTTGGTGAAAATCAGAACATCAGTAAAAAAAAAAAAAATCTTCTAACACAGATGACAAAAGTGTAAATTAATACAGTCAAACACAGAAACGATCATCAAGGATTTGAAAGTACTGAGCATATGATGCTTTGTTTCACTGCTATAGACCTGTGCTACCTTAAGGCACAAAATTTTTTTTTCTTTCTACTGAAGATGTTGAGAACCTACAGACATTAGAAATGCATATTTATAAATAATGAATAAAACATGGATGAAGAGAAATAAATGTAAGCTCCCTAACAACATAACTCTGGGTAAAACAAAGACCTGAAAGACTGAAGCCCAGTAGGTAACAAGTAAAGATAAAACAAAGAACATCTGTGAAAGTTGAAGCACTTAATGTTACTAAAAATACTGCTTTAAACACCTCTACAGAATGCTTGTTTCTTGTTTCAATATAACAAGACTTAAATAGAAGTGTACTCTGCAACATAAGTTTATTCATACTTATTAGAAATCTCATATAAAAGAGTCAGTCCACATCTGGTTCATAAATCCTAAATAATCCACTCATTTATAAGCGGACAAAGGTCAAAAAAAATACTACAAATGGATTTTTTTTAATGTTTACTTCATTTTTTTATATTAGCTAGGATCACATATATAACTGGTATCTATGATCTCATTTCAGAAACAAGATTAGGTAAAATAATACTAGGTTCAGAAAAAAACCAAGGCACTGTTTCTCATTTTTAATGCATTTCTAAAATGAACTGAATGTAACAGATTTTATTTATGTTAATGGCACCTTCTGACTACTCTCATACTATACAGTTTATATATGATCTATAAATTAAACTGAAACCTTGAAGGAATGCTTAATTCAGTCATTAAATATGAAAATACCATGGCAAAAGAGCCTGCCTGTCTTTCAAGTAACAATGAGCATATATAAAAATGAATGATATGGCGTTAACTTTGCAAGATGTATTAAACAGCACTGGAAACACAACTTCAAGAAGACTATCCTCATGCCTCCTTAACCTTTTAATGACAGATCACCATGAAATTGTGAATTTTAACTCTGTTAGTGAAATAAATTAATTTCTACATGTTGGCAATAGAGACTGTGATAATTTTGCAGTTTTTCTTATGGAACTGGTTGAAAGATAAATGCTTGTCAACAGCCCATTAATGACAAAGCAGTCAAAACCTACTATTTTTGTTTAAACTAGGTACTGTTTCAGTGCTTCAGAATTCAGTTCCAGACATTTTACAACAATTACCCACAACATTAAAACAGAACTGTGGGAAATAAAATGGGGCTTAAGGGACACATAGCCACTCTCTGTAAGTTCAGGCTACTTTCTCATCCACTAGCCAGACTGATGGTACTACAGACACACTATCCCAAGAGTCTCTCAGAGCAGATGACTTGCTTCACTACTCATCACCTGGAAATAGAGATGGGAAAAAGGGAATCCCTCAGTGAAGATCCTGCAAATATTTTAGTCATCTTTCCCCCTTAACCATCGATAAAACGGATGGCCATCCCCTATTTCAATATAACATTATCACAGTACAAAGGGGACTTACAGGACATTATGAAGCCTTGAGAAGAGGAGGCTGAGAGGAGACCTGATCACTGCCTACAACTACCTGAAAGGAGGTTGTGGAGAAGTGGGTGTTGGTCTCTTCTCCCTAATGAAAGATGATCGGACGAGGGGGAATGGACTCAAGCTGCGCCAGGGGAGGTTTAGGTTGGACGTAAGGAAGAAGTTCTTCACTGAAAGGGTTATCACGCACTGGAACAGGCTGCCCAGGGAGGTGGTGGAGTCACCATCCCTGGATGTGTTTAAGAGACGGGTGGATGAGGTGCTGAGAGATATGGTTTAGTGGTGGACAGATACGGTTGGACTGGATGATCTCTAAGGTCTTTTCCAACCCAGTGATTCTATGATTCTATGATTCTATGAAAGGTGCCTTATAAAGGGGAGACTTCATAGCTGCCTTCCAATACCTGAAGGGGGCCTACAAGATAGCTGGGAGGGGACTTTCTACAAGGGCCTGTACTGACAGGACAAGGGGTAACGGGTTTAAATTGAAAGGAGGGAGGTTTAGATTAGATATCAGGAAGAAATTCTTCACAGAGAGGGTGGTGAAGCACTGGAACAAGTTGCCCAGAGAAGCTGTGGATGCCCCATCCCTGGAAGTGTTCAAGGCCAGGCTGGACGAGGCTTTGAGCAACCTGGTCTAGTGGAAGGTGTCCCTGTCCATGGCTGGGGGGTTGGAACTAGATGGTCTTTAAGGTCCCTTCCAACCCAAACCATTCTGTGATTCTATGTTTCTGGAGAAAAAAATGGAATACAAGTGGCAGTGATACCATTGGGATTACAGTTGAACATCTCAATGTGACTAAGCTTTTTTTTTTTATTCATGACCGCAAAACCTGCAAAATCTAAAGTGAGATACTTAAACTGCGGAGAAGCCTCACGGATCTGACAGTCTTCATCTAAACAAACAGACAAGTACTTCTCAGTACAAAAGATTGGGTACATGTTTATTTGCTGTTGTCTTACTTTTATAAAACCAGAGAAGAGTGGCTTCAGGCTTAGACTGGTCCTGAAAGCAAGATGTCAGAACATAAACCAGATATTATGCCTGTCTTGTCTATTTAAACTTTATCTAGGTCTAATCACAGCATTTCACAAAGAAGTGAGACGACCTAAAATTAAACAAATAAAGAAAAGAAAGCCTGTACCGTTTACAGATCATAAAAGCCAATTGTAAAACATTGGGCTGACAGAGTATTAGTAAATGTTATGGTTGCTAATTGGTTGAAAGTGGTACTAAGTTCCCAGGAACTAACACAGGTCTTGTTCAAAACATCCTCCCTGAAAGTTAAAAATCTTTTTGCCACAAAATTTCTTATTTTATTCCCTGGGTTTGGAATATTCATAACAACAGTTGAAGCAAAGCAGTTCTACAGTCCTCAGGTGCCAATTATGACCTCAATGTCTGAATAGCAGATTAAGAAACACAGTGCATTAGTAGTCACTGATTTTGTCATCAAACCATTGATCCAGTTATTACACAACCATATTCATTACTTCTGACTTACTGACAAAATCATTGTCATTTATAAAAGGGTGGTGAGGTGCTTGCAGAAATCAAGAGATAAAAACAAAAGTATGAATTTGGTTACTTCCATGCCTTTGTCAGAAAAATTCTAAAAAAGCGCCTACATTCTCATCTATTATAATTTCCACAGAAAGACCCTACAAAATGTGATTCTGTTAAATCCCTGCTCACGATGTATAGAAGACTACTCAGACAATTTGACACACAGTACAGAGCTAAAATGCCACCAGAATTCCAATTTTCAGTTCTGGTACTAAATTAAGTATGGGTTCTTTTTGTCTGTGCAAGTATACAGAAGAGCAAGCTACTGAAGTTCTTTCTTTAGTTCTCTTTCTGAAGTACTGTGTGACCACTCTCAGAAAAAGGTTAATGGGGTAGAGGCTCCATTAATTTTTTTATTAATGTACTACCCCTGGCTTATATTATCAGTTGTAAATTCAGAGTGATTTTTCAATTCCCAAATGCTCCTGGAAACCAGGTCCTATACTCTTGATTTCTGACTCCTACAATTATCTAAGCATTTTTTAATATTTCTCTCTAAGGGGGACACCATTACAGTTATATATGCCACATACAGGAGCATATTTAGAGGAGCTCAGGTTGAACAAATTTTCTTGTTATGATTAGTGATGCAAGAACATTATTTCCATGAGTGTAACCCTGGAAAACTTCAAGACAGAAATATCTGTTTTCAGCATTGGTTTGTGAATCTACGGATGTTATACTTCACCCTGAATCTCACAGTACAATATTTAGTGTAACACTTCTGATTTTAGCATTTACACGCACATTTCTAATCAACAAGGTGGTCGCTAAGACTTGCCTTGAAATACAGAATGTAGCTTTTTCAAATACTTAATATTACAGACACCTTTATACCGAAAAAAAAAGGCCAAGGACAAAAGCATTCCTGAATAATACGGTTATCATCCTGCTGTTAACCTTCTCTTGTTTCTGGTCTGAAATCCTTGCTGGTTTACTGTTCCACAAAGCCTGTATACGTGTCAGGAATCAGATCATCAACTGAAATCTTGGAATTATGGAAGAGAATCCTCTTCAATCTTTCAAAAATGTTTCACAATTTGGGTATCCTACTATTAGTCCCAAATTACATAAACATTAAGAACTACTTTCACACTTAGTGGTACAAAATGGATTGTCTGAGCCCGCGAAAAATAAGCAGGTAAATACTAGTCATACATAGCTCTCAGCTGCCACACTTAAATGTGACAACCAAACCTGCTCCTCTAACCAACAAATTCAGGATTACATAAACTCCCTCGAAACTACTCTGAAAATGTTAGTGGTGCAACAACTCCATCACTTGTTTTCAGTAAGCGAGCAAAGAATGCTATTAATTTAATGCTGTAAAAGATTACAGGACATTAAAACTCACAAGTATAAAAAAGAAGAGACATGATAGGGAGCACAGCTATACATTATGAAATGATTGTTTAATATAATCTAAATTAGTCCAGCATTCAAAGCTTTTAATACTTTCTGATATGCTGTCAGATGTACGTTATGTTTGAAGTGGATCATAGTAACAGTTCTATGATCTGAATAATTCAAAAGGATCAATGCACTTAAAACCTAAAATATTACCTTGACAGTTAAGAAGTATAACATGTACTATTCTTAATTATGTTCAAAACTGGTTTTTATCACTAAGATAACATTATCTTCTCAGATTTATTAACAAGCAGTTATTTCAATCAAAGTATCTACATGTATTTCAAACTAAGTATATATTTTTGTCATTTTTCTGAAATTGATAAAAAAGTATTTCTGACTTAATGGCAATACTACCCAAAACACCACTTTAAGTAAAAACCGAGACATTCCAAACCCTTCCATAATCACAAAATGTTGACAGTTCAAGAATGCAATGGTTATTTTATCAGTTGGCAATTTATACCTGCAATCATGTCGTCCACAGTACTCATCTTCAGCAATACCTGTTCAATTAAGCCAACTTCCGTGCTAGTCTGTAAATTACGCACACTTTTACGTAGAATTGCTGTGAACATACTCCAGATTTCTGCTTGGCACGTTACATCACAGTGCTCCAAAAGCTCTGACATGCACGTAATGCTCTCTGCATCCTGGATTATAAAGTTCATCTCTAGATCAAATTCGCCACCAACCAGCTACAAAAGAAAACAAGAATGGCATTACAATGTGAAATGCGTCATTTAGTGACTTTCATAACTTCATTGTGACCAACACTGAATAATTTTTGCATGATGAGAGGTGATTTTGATAGAGAAATTTCCAGCTATGACCTGTAAGACAGCAAATTAACCACCATGCTACGCAAAACAGAGCTTGCACACAACACACACACTAATATCATAAAATATTACTTTCCATTTTTTCATATTGCTGAATGCAATACTTCCATAAAATGATACAAAAATTTATTTGAAATATTCCCTCCTCAAAACTAATTGAAATGGTAGCCTGGCTCAGAGAAATGAAGTGCAGAAGCTGCAGAAACTGAAAAGCTCAAAAGCAACTGCGGCTGTCCTACAGTTCTCTGAACAGAAATTTGCCCACTCCGAAATTAAAAAGACATCAAAAATAACTTAGATATGTTTCCTCCTGATGTAAGCCAACATCAGCCCTTAGTTTTGTGTTTGCAAAACCTTACTGCCCTTTCCATTGTACCACCTACAGAGTCATGCAGTCATGCTCAGAAAAAGAATCAGTGATCTGTTCTGGACCAACACAGACATGGAAAACTTGCTTAGTTATACCACAGATCAGTTCTTCATGTGGCCAAGGAAACCTGCTGCTGGTGCAAGAGAGAGACAGCATGGGGCGAGGGACAAGCACTCAGAAGGAAAATAATTTAACAGCACTACTGGTGAAATTGCAGTCTGACTCTCTTCCACCCAGATACCTGCAAAATGCTATCAGAAGTCCTGAGCTCCAATTAAATAGCACAACTACTAGGCACGTTTTAGGAGGAGGAAAAAAAAAAGGTAAAAAATTGCAAGATATTGTCAAGACCAAGTGTGCTGGATTCAGCCAG